CGATCTGATTCCTATGCATACCATCAGGTGAAATCCATGTGTATAACCTGCGTTTGTGTCTCTTATAAAATGTATTTGCAATGAATAAGTCATTGATTGTACAAAATTCGATCATTCTATCTCCAGCTTCATTCCTGTCACCAAACCCATGTTTTCCAACCACTGATTCTTCTTCTCTGTTCCCAGCGACTCATAGGAACCCTATAAATAGATATGAACTCTGTCCTAGCCTGTACTATTCTCATAATCTCTGGCACACTTGAGACCATAGCTGCAGTCTACCTGGTTGAGGGTCTTCCTCTCTTTCACCAACTCTCCACCTTTCCAAGCATGATATCCATTTCCAAGGAATAGCCTCTCCTAGCAACATACCCAAAGTGTGTGACATGAAGCTTGAACATCTTTGCCTCCAAGGAGTACTCTGGCTCCACCTTCTCCCAGACATATCTTTGTTCTTTTAGTAATCCATGAGATATTCAGATATTCAAAGGCATCGAATCTTCTTGTCATCCTAACTCATTGTCCAGCTCTCAGCAGCATAGCAAGGGAGTGAAAAGATCATGTCCTAGATGTAACATACCTTAGTCCTCAAACTAACTTTCCTGAGTAATAATTTGGAGAGGTTCTTGACTGCAGGCTTTGTAGTCTTTTTATGAGTCATACTCAACTTGATGGCACCTAACAACAATAATCATCCCAATGAAACAAGTTATTTATTCAAAACTTGCTATAGCAAAGGAATTAGATATAATCATCTAAATTTGGCAAAAACTTAAAAGCAGTTGTCGTTAGGTGCCATTGAGTTGTAGATGACTCATAGTGACCCTATGAAAGAAAGACCTGAGCACTGTTCATAGAGTTTTCAGAGGCAAGACATTTCAGAAGTGGATGTCACTTCTGCTTCCAAGCTTGTTTTAATCAGGAAGCTCCCGGAGAAGAGTACTGAATGTACCATGGACTGGCAAGAAAATAGATTCATCCTAGAGAGGGTTAAACCAGGCTACTCCTTGGAGGCAAGGATTCTGGGGCTTCGCCTGACATACTTTGGACATGTTGTAAGGAGAGACAGGTCTTTGGAGAGGGACATCATGCTGGGCAGAGTGGAGGGACAGCGCAGGAGGGGAAGACCCTCTATGAGGTGGATTGATTCAGTGACTGGGGTAATCAGGATGGGTGTGTCAGAGGCAATGAGATTGGCACGGGATAGAGCACGGTTTAGGGCTGTTGTACATAGGGTCACTATGAGTTGCAAACGACTCGATGGCACATAACAACAACCACCACCACCAAACACTGTCCACCATGGGTAACCATTATCGTATGTGGCACATCAGTGTCACAGTGTTTAGCATCACTGCAAGCACAAGTTACCTCTGTACAGCAAATGGACTGACCAGTGCTATACCACCTTGAAAAAGGTTTGAAAAACAAACCAAAAATCAAACCAAAAAACCCCAGACAATTTGGTGAGAGATAAAGCTTTATAAAGACAAGAAGAAAGGCTTCAGGTTGAGGATAGTTGGTATGGAGACCCTCAAGGTAGGCTGACTAGAAGTTGTTGTTGTTGTTGTTGTGTTTAGGTGCCATCGAGCCAACTACAACTCATAGCAACCCTATGAACAATAGATCAAAATCTTGTCCTGTCCTGTGCCACCCGCACAAACTTTGCTATGCTCAAGTCCATTGCTGCAATTGCTGACTGCCTCAACCCATCTCCTTGAGAGTCTTCTTCTCTTTCTCTGACCCTTTACTTTCCCAGTGTAATGTCCTTTCCTAAGGACTGGTGCCTCCTGATAATATTCCCAGAATATGTGAGACAAATATTAACCATTCATGCCTCGAAGGAGAACCTTAGTTGCACTTCAAGATGGATTTGTGGTTGTTGTTTTTCTTTTGGCAGTCCATGGAATATTCTGAACTCTCTGCCTCCTTCTGTTACTCATATTCAGGGCTTTTAAAAATTGGACAATGAATGAGGAAGACAGTAAAAGAGCTGATGTCTTTAAATTGTGTTCTTAAGAATATGAAGCACTCAGATGCTAACCAAAAGGTTGGTAGTTTGAACCCACAAGCCACTCTGTGGGAGAAAGATGTGACAGTTTGCTTCCATAGACTTGCAGCTTTAGATACTGTTGTTGTTGTTGATGTGTACTATCAAGCTGGAACCAGCCCATCGCTGACTCTTCAGTGGGTATTTAATGGCAGTTAATTGTATGATTCTGCAAAGGCATTTGACTGCGTGGATCATAACAAACTGTGGCTGACTCTGAGAAGAATGGGAATCGCAGAACATTTAATCGTGCTATGCGAAACCTATACTTGGACCAAGAGGCAGTAGTCAGAACAGAGCAGGGTAACAC